TGAATATAAGTAAATACACAAAATGAATAAAGTTTGTATTATTTGGTCAATATAAATTTGCTCGTTAATAATGCAAATAATTAAAATGGTATTTTTTAGGCACACCGAAGTGAATTGCTCAACATCAGTCGTCTCCAGAAAACGTGRGCTGGTCGTATCATCATTTGCGAAAACACAAAAGATTCTTCTGTCGATAAGCTATTCCAGTTCACCCCGTATTTACGACGTCCRTAGACTCCATTTAGGTGACTGAAAAGTATAAGATAGATCACTGTAAACACTGATTTGTAAACATTTTTTACCAGGTATAGCATCGGCGAAACCACCAAGCACCTTTATGCACCTGTGCACAATTATTTTTACTAACGTCACTATCRTGATCATGCGTTGAAAACGGCATTCCCAAGTGATAAGTTAAAGAATCGATAGCAGTACCGCTGTAATTACCMACTTTCAGCAAAGCAAAGTTTCTTGACTCGTCACCAATAAGAAATCGTGAATATTTCGCGTAGTATTTTTTACCGTTACGTCTTGCCAATTGAATATACAACTCCTGTTCACAGCTGCTAGTGAGCGCGTAGAGTTTTTCTAAACCAATCCAATAGCTTCCCTCTAAATCACCAAATCCTTTCTTATATTCATCCCAAGTTCTATAAAAATCCACTGAATCATTTACACGACGTTGAACAACTATCCATCCCCCAAAATCAATGTCCTCTTCACAAAACACTTCCAAGTCGGTGACCTTCAACATTTCTATTTGAATTTTATAAATGCCACTCTTCAATTTCTTTGCTGCTGCTTTCACACAACTAGACGGGTTCGGTGGTCTGAAATAAATAGCTAATAATTACATACACGGTTCCATAACTAGTTTTTTATTTTTACCCCTTCGCAACTAACTCCTTTTCGCTAATCGGAACTAACTCCTTTTTGCCAATCGGAACTTTATTTGAAATATTTTGCACATCTATCCACTCTTTTATGTATTTTTTTGCGACACCCATTTGCACAACACAATTGCACTTGCAATCGCACACTTTACTTGTGCCATTATCTTCACCGAGAACACATCTGATTTGAAAAAGTAATATACAATGCGCCAAAATAATTAAAACGAAGCGAATCATTTTTCCGTGAATTGTGCGAACCCTTCGGCTCCGAATTAAAACTGCTACTTGCTGACAGATGAATCCAAGTGGAATAYCCATGATATACTTAAGATTTATATCGTATATATCGTTAYTTAAAATACAAAATGGCTTAACATCACTTTCCACAAGTTTACAAGAGGGGATCAACGATATGGAATAGCAACTATTTCTTTTGAAAGAAAATTAAAATTTTGGTTATAACTTGATTGTATCTAATAGCGATGTTAAGCTTTCTCACATATRTCATATAGTGTAGTGAATCCTAATAAAAAATCTAAATTTTTCAAGATACGTTGTTTTGCATTTTAGTTGACCATGTGTATAGTACCCTTACCCAAATGCAGCTGTTTATAAAAGGAATTCATAATTGGTGGAGTGCGATAAGAATATAATTAATTAGGTACTGACTTAATTGCATTAGGTTGAGTTTTACACACTGATTTTACTGATTGAAACAGATCTCGAGTTATATAAAGAATTGTTAAAAAAAAAATAAATAAATAAGACGCCAATAATTTAATCCAATGACTAAGAAGTTAGCTTTATTATAAAGACAAGGGTATGCCATTACATTTTACAAATTATTTCGGGCAAATTGCCGCCACCCTTGGAATGATTAAATTTCAGTCGATATCCCCGATTTTTGACCACTTTTTGTAGCAAGGGTTTCTCATTRACTGTAACATTATGGGAAGCGTCACTTTTGAAGAAATTTGGATGAATGTGTCCCTCTGCCCGTAGACCACACCAAACAGTGACTTCATTTGGAAAGAGCAACAACGTCAATGTGACAGTTTTTATTAATAACGCACACATTCAAACAAAAGTGACCTTCATTGCTCACTAAAAATTTCTAGCGATGCGTCCGGGATATTACTTTGGTAATAAATTTGCACGATTAGTGCAAAGTGTTGTTCCGGAGTAAATCGCGTTATTATTTAATGGCAAACCAGACTTATTATAAATAAAGTAACAGCAGAAAAAAGAACTGCTTTAAAAAGAGCTCTACCTCATTCAATCCTACACGTCTTAAACAAGCATCCGTTTTATAAAAGTGAGTCCGCTGCATTAGCAAGCGCATATAACGTGATTACTTTACGTTAGATTTCGAGGCTGAAGTTGTTGTTGGTGTTGAAACTGGTTCCAAAATATACGATATTATCTAGGACTTCGAAGTTATGACTGTCACCAGTGACTTAGGAGTCTAGTCGCGAGTGCGACGACTGTTTGTTTGATGACAGAAGATATTTCGYCTTGCGTTCACTAYCRGACCCATGTGCTTTGTTACCTTATCCATTCTGCAGAAAGCAGAACTATCACGCTTGTTGAGGCTAATATCATCATTTTATATATAATATATATGGTAGTTGTATACTATTATAGGAGATGGTACCTTCTCTACTTAGTTCTGCAGCTCGAATTATTTTCTCCAAGAGTAAATTGAAGAAGTCACATGAAAAGGTGTCCCCTGGTCTGAAACCTCATTTATCTTCTTTTTATGAATTGAGCAGAGCACGTCGGCCATGCTTTCATCCGACCATAGTCTACAAAGAAACTAATGCATGTTTCTKATATATTCTTCGCCGCCATTTTTGAAAAAGTCGGCCGGTAATCCATCAGTCGCTGCCGCTTCGGATTCTCGATCTCCGGATGTTACAATTTCACTGCCGTTAGGCAGAATAGAGAGTTCCCTCCATAACTTCAGAATGGCCTGAACATCAGGCATTAGATCAACACCAAGGGTCATTCAAGAGTATGCTATGGTCTTGTAACCTTCCGTTAGCCGCCGTATCYTTTCGTAGATTTTTCGAGAATCTCTGTCGGCCAGGTCGTCCAACACTTCTTCYGTTTTTTTGTCTTCAAATGCTTCTCGCTTCTCTTTTCACTTTTGGGTATCTATCTCATCCTGCACGATGGTAACGTTGCGATTCAGGCAGTCTGTTTTCTCTCCAATGCGATACGGTACTCCTCATCATAGCAGCTGTTCTTTTACCTTTTCCGAATAGCAATGGTTTTGTTTGCAGCTGTACGTAAGATCCGCCCCACAGTTCCTATAAACGGAGTTGCTGATGAGTGCTCTTAGAGAGCAGGAGTGCAGATGGAGTAGAAAATCGTTCGGCTGYCTGTTGTGATTGCAGCTTTTCGACATCGAACCTTCTYTTTGTTTGTTGACKTGCGTTTTTTGCTGCACAGAGGTGGYTGCATATCTTCACTGCAACAAGATATTGGCAGAGGGTACGTACGTCAAAAACACTGGAGACATGTCTTCCGTCTTTCACTACATGATCAAATTGACAAATTTTTTATGCTGGAATCTAGTATTACAGATAACCATGTTTTGAGCCCCTGCGAAGTCAATAAGCCTCAACCCATTTGGGGATGTTTCATCAYGTAATCTGGATTTATCGACTGTTGTGCCAAAGATACCTTCCCTCCSCACCCTGGCGTTAAAGTCGCAAAGCCCAATTTGGACATGGAAAGCGCTTATAGAATACTTCTTTGGCCCATCGTCCTTCTCTTCCTTCGGGTGGTGGGCGCAAATCAGCGATATATTGAAGAAATTCTCTTTTATGCCAGTACTCTGCGACGGAGTCTCTCTCCCACCATGAATCCCACACTAAATTTGCGCTCCTTTATATGGTAACTGTAGTAAATACCATAAGGGCCTATTCGCTTAAGTTCTTGTCCCGTCCATCGCATTTCTTGGGCGGTGGTGATGYCAGCTTTTGTTCTAGGAGGATGTCAACCAGTGGTGCGCCGGCTCCTTCCCAATTATTCCCAAGTGCATGCCCTCAAATCATAATCTTAACACGTTTGCAGGGGCCGTCATCGAAAAGGGGGGCCCCTTAGCCGAAACTTTTATTTCCTTTTCATTGGCATGGCTCTTAACATAGCCTGTAACAATCCCAACGCACAATCCTGGTCGTGAGCTGCTTGAGGCACATGTACAGAATAATTTCTGGCTACTCCTTAGTGAATTGCGCTCTGAGAATTCTACTCACTTGAGTGCTCCTCGGGCAAAAATGTCGAACATTTCAGTTATACAAATATAAGTATGATTCGCAAGCAAATCATGTATAATCGCTAATGATTCAAATTTSTTCTTTATCGCTRATTTGAAGACAAACGGTTCGATTCGTATACATGAATCAAACTGGGAGAATTAACAAGAGTAACGGAKTTGTACTCGAGTATGAAGAAAAATACAATACTCGTGCAATTTTCTGGTGTGAATTAAAAGTTGACAAGGGTGAATTGAAATTAAAGAAACAATTATACCAAATAAAAATACGGCAAGAAAGATCTAGCAAAACGATTTGCATTGGATGCACACTGATGGCCAGTTAAGTATTCAAATTTAGTTGGTTACACATATACAGTRCATCTGATATTAGATTTTTGGGAAAACGTTTTAAACAGCAGCATAGCTTATAGTATGCTTGAGTCGTATTATATATGATTTTTCGTTCTCATTTTGTTTTTGGAAATTCTCAATAATAATGGTSCATTTTTATTGAGTGACGCGCGAGGTTGTAGCTGGATCAGTTTTATGAGTTTCATCATTGGAAGAAATCGTGTTTCAGAATTTGCTTCAGAATTGCTTTCGTGAAGTTAATAAGTTCGTCTAGGAACCAGGATCCGTCTAGGATCACTTCCGATATTTAACTACTTAATGCATTGTAGTTTAAATAACTTAAGCGTGATCGAATATGTGTGGCACTGTAGTTAGTTACTGTAAGAAATGCTCGTGTGAAGGATATTGTGACTTCGGTGCAGTTCAGAGTAAACCTATTATCGCCAAAAAAAAAAATGTCCGCTGGCTGTAGTTCACCGTGTATCAAAGAAAAAAAAAAATAAAAAAAAAAAAAAAAAAAAAAAAAACATATAGGCCTCGAGAATGTTTTCTGATGACGAATACATTGGCACCAAGCACAATCAGATTTGAGCCACTAGTACGTATTGGTTGCAGGTGCTGAGTTGATATCCTTTTATTGTAATATATCATGGCAAAAGTTATTATGTCATGACATGTTCGTTACCTTGGTGCACTATGAGCATCATTAATCATCTAAGCAAGAAAAATTATTTCACCTTTTCTATTTGCTTAGTCTCTTGCTTTTGCACTACAAACAGCGTTATAMACGAAAAATTAAGGATTTTACATAACCATTGGATTAATAAAATGTCTATAAATAGTTGTTCAAAATTGATGGTGAATGTCCTAGTTATATTTCTTATACAGCCAAGCTATTATTAAAAGCAAATTAATGTGACCATAAACAATATAATTCTGAATRTTCAAAAATAACCGAATACAAGAATACGACACGATTCATAACGTCAAAATATAACGGATTTGTCTCTTAATCGGGCATAAAGTATATATATATAAATGATCAGTATGTCGAGCTGAGTCGATTTAGCCATGTCCGTCTGTCTGTCTGTCCGTCCGTCTGTATATATACGAACTAGGCCCTCAGTTTTTAAGATATCGTTTTGAAATATTGCAAGCGTAATTTTTCTTCAAAAGCTTGTCGGAACTGCCGATATCGGACCACTATAAAATATAGCTGGCATACAAACTGAACGATCGGAATCAAGTTATTGTATGGAAAATTTGCACTTTTGACCATGTATATCCACAAAAGTTGGCACAATTTATTTTCTAAAGCAAACATGTAATATCCGAAGAAATTGTTCAGATCGGATTACTATAGCATATAGCTGACGTCCAAACTGAATGAGCGGAATCAAATGCTTGCATGGGAAACTTCCTCATTTGAAGATATATCTTCACGAAATTCAGTATGAGTTATTTTTTATAGAAATAATGTAATATCAGAAGAAATTATTCAGATCGGCTCACTATAGCATACAGCTGCAATACAAACCGAACGATAGGAATCAAGGGCTTGTATGGAAAACTCTGGCATTTGACGTGGTAAGGTAACAATAAACTCCACAAAAATCGTTCAGAACGGATTACTATAGCCTAT